GCAGTGTTGAAATCATTTGAGGTACAGTGAGGTCCTGTTCCTTTGGAACAGGAAAGGTAAGAGTTCTAAAAAGAATTAGCAAGTAGCAACTGTCTTGTCAAAGATAAGACTGTGTTATGAAAAGAAAATAAAAGAGTGAGGCTGGCAGTGTAAACTGCCAGGCTCAGAATGGACAGAGGAGTGGGCGTTGTTAGTGGCTGTCACAACGGCAGAAGTCATGGGGGACAGTGTCAGTGACAGGTTTATAGGAACGCATGGTGTTGATACGTGGTTTCTCTGTCACGGTGATTCCTGTAAATGCTACTGATGGGTTCTGGTGAGTAAATAGTTAGTAATTTACTGTTATCAACATTAAACTATTTCTGGTTTTGCGTTTACTTTAAAAATGATACTTAAAAAATTCCAAGTCCAGTCTGATTGACACTGAAATGCTCTTTACATGAAAGTTTGTTTATGGGCAGTGATTCTTTTGACAGATTTACAAGTGCCTGTGGAGTTTTAAAAGACTATTGCCCAATAGGCATTAAGTGAGAGACATTCTATTGTGTAAATATTTTCACTTATATTGGGGATTTTTAAAGAACTTTTAGAGCCAAATACTGCATTAAATCTGAAGACAGTGGCAAACTGATAATCAGCAGTTTCCAACTTTGTTCTAATGTTTTGCTAATGGTTTCCATTTCTATGGCCAAGATTTGCTTGGGTGAAGCATGATGTACATCCAGCACTTTGTAAGGGCTTTTAAATACTATTACACACTTCCTTTTTTTTTTTTTTTTTTTTTTTTTTTTTTTTTTTTTGCAATAGCTCATTTAGAAATAAACAATTTTCAAAGTAGTATATTGCATTTTATTTGGCTAACATATAATACATGTCAAGAAAAGGAATGAAAAGTTGATTACAGTAATAGTGAATTTGCATATGTTTGGACGCATTAATGCTGAAAAAAGATGTTTGTTGTTTCCTCAAATTATTACTTTGGAATGAGTTGATGAGTGAGGAAGTGATTCTTCAGAATTCTATCAGATTCCTCAGAAATTCAGAATTTTTTTTCTTTCTTAGAAGGAAACTTCCTAGAATGTACTTATATTTCAAAGGAAGAATAGTCAATAGAATCCTTACCTTGGAATCATTCTAATTAAAAAAAAAGTGCCGATTTTTTTTTAAAAAAGGAAAATGTTTCCTTTGCAGACCATATGAGAACAATACCTGAAGAAATCATGTGAATGTCACACATAGCATTTTTAGCAAAGAAATCAGAGCAACTAGTGGAACTTTTCAATTTTTGTTTATTTATATAATGTTTAGCCAGAGTTAGTAGATTTTATTAATATATATATTAATGTATTTAAAATAAATGTTTGAATAAATATTAAGAAAGTATTATCAAACTTAGTTTTGTTAAGTTTGGTGAAAATTAGCTACCAGAAACCTTTATATTATGTTGTAGTACTGAGATTAGATCACAGAAGAATGTGATAGCCTTTCACAAATATTGCAAATTGAGGTTGACAAGACCACCTGACTTTTATGTGTAGAATACAGCTGCCGTTTTAGTGAAAGCACTTGATTTAGCCCTGCAATTAAAATAATCTTTTTTTTCTGAATGTCTTTACTTGTATCTAATATGTGATTTCTTTGAACACACTTTCATCACTGTTTTCCATTGGCAAGCTTGATCAAGTTCCTAGGTTCATGAGCCTGAAAGATGCATCTATTTGGTGGTCATAGCCATCGCTTTGTTATATTGGAGAAGGAATCATTATTCTCCATCATGTTCTTCATTACTGAGGGGGAGACTGAAAGAATAATGAACACACTTCAGCAGGCTACAGCATTTTTGAGCCAGCAGCTCAAGCTGAAGTTCATAATGTCTTCAGCCACTGAATCCATATCTATGTTAGCAACTAAATAAATTGAAGACTTATTCAAATATTTCAATGCAGTTGAGTTTAAACAGAGTTAGATAACTTTCTGCTGCCTAAAAAAAATAGATTTCTTTTCTTTGTAGACCCGAAGTTATAGGTCATTCCCTGGAGTCTAACCTAAACTCAGTCAATTAAAGGTGAATTAATCAGTACAGGGCAAAAACATTACTCTTGCAATTTGCAGTTTTTCACCCAATCACTGCTGTCCTTGATTCCGTTGCTCAAATCTAAAACTTTCTTATGGCCCTTCAGTTCATTTTGACAGTTATCTCAAAAACTTCAGGCTAAAGAAGACAAAAGTCTAGACAAAAACTAGACTTTTGCTCCAGATAGTTTAATCTAGGTAAATATATTCATCAGAGTTGCTAGAGTTGGTATCATTTTAAGGCTTTCCAATAGTGTAATTTCATAGTCTTCTAGCATTTACTTGACTTCTTTTGTCTCTTTCAATTTTTTTGCTTCAAGATTACATAAGCAGTGCAGACTGACATTTCATCTAATTTCATGTGATTTCAACTTTAGAGTTTTAAATCAGCACCTATGGTTGACTTATTCTATGTTATGTGTTTCATTTGCTCTTCTCTGATGTGCCTGTCCTTTTACTCATCCTCTCCCCTCACTCCAAATATTGTTCTTGTTATGGTTTTTAAGATTCTACTAAAGAAATCACCACCCTAATCTACTTTCCTATATCTTTCTATAGTTTTTGTCATCTAATTATGGTAAATGTTAGTCTTTCCTATTCAAAAATATCGTTATTGAAGGGGTTTTTCGTATTCTTTCTTTCTAACTTAGAGGCAATTTGTCCTAAGCTTGATCATTTAACTATGTGCATAGGACATATCTGAGTAACCTTTGTAATAATCTTATGTTATTAATGCTTATTGGAAGCATCTAGATGCTTTCAATACTCAAGAGAATATATTAGTAGCACTGCTTATTGGTTAAAAAAAAATAAAAAATAAAAAAAAGCACCTTTCCAGAGTATATTGTTGTGTTTAGATACTCTAGTTACATGTATTTTCATATATATATTCATATTTGTATCTATTTGTACAAATTTATTTGATTGCTGTAACATAAGTGACTTGCAGTGATTTCAGCCTAAGGTGATCATATTAATCATGCACATTTTATAAGCAAAATATATCAAATGTCTCAACATAATGTGTACTGTCAGCCTTTTGATATTTTATATTGCTTTAAAATAAATTCTAAATATTACCTTATATAACATTTTCCTTTTTTTAAACATAGAGAAAATTGGGCACAAACTTGTAGCTGCTACTTTGTATAAAATTTCAGTTGGAAAATTAACAGTAACATCTTGGGTATTTTGCTAGATTTTTTTTTCTTCACAAGGTGATGTCCATCTTCTTCTTAAGTATTACAATTTCCTTGAACAGATGTAGAAAACTCCTTTTAATTCCAGAAATTAAAATGTTACATAAATTTCATTCAGAGTATGATATGAAGTTCAAACTTTTAATTGTAAGAGGCATGTACTTTCTGGAAATAGTCTTAAAAGTCTTACAGACTTGGATTTCTGATTTGCCTAATTTCATAGAATCATCTTAGAACCATAGAATGCTTAGGTTGGAAGGAACCTGAAAGTTCATCTAGTTCCAACAACCTGCTATTGGCAGGGTTGCCACCCACTTGATAGGGCTGCTCAATTTCAGTTATTAAAGATGCATAATAGAGCAGCTAATAAAAGATTTTCTTTCCCAAATCTGCTAAGTTTGAATTGATACTTTTATTATTTCTGACTGCTCTCTGGCAGACAAACAAATCTCTGTTAGCTTCAGTTTCAACAGTTTCAAAGTTCTGCCTTATGCTCCAGGTTGCAAGACTAGAGATTAAAGATGTAGTTAGACTGTAGCCTAGAACATTTTACATCAGCTTTGGAGCTCCTCAGTAATTTCATAGTCTATCTACATGAGTTGTGGAAGGATGTTAGAGTAAAATGCGTACTTAAGTGAGATATAAGCATTTGTTTATAACAAAAACTTCCATGGTTTATTTCTATCAGTTATTAAATTCTCAATTAATTGGAAAGCTGCTATTGCTGAGCAAGTCCTGCTGACCCAGTATTATAGGCAATGCAAATAGTTGAGGAATATAATATATATGCCTGTTTTCAACTTCCATTGGTATTTTTTCATTGCACTGAAAACTTGAAATAACATAATGTTAATTTAAAATATTCACAGTTGCTTTTCTCACCATTTTGTATTAATTTTTGCTGGAATAAGTTGAATTATATAATGGTGGCAGCAATGTGGTGTGAAAATGTTTAATGAAGCCAAACTTTAACTACTAGATTTGAGTCCAAAATAAATTTCCATCTAAATTTAGCTGCTAAGGAATGAGGAGTCGTGGAAAAGAAATCCTATGGTAGTTCATAAAATTGGTTGCTAAATGAAATACAATTGCATTTTTATTTTCAACAGTCTCATTTCAACTCTAACATGGAACACTTGAACCTTCAAACTTTAACAGGAGTTTTAGGGAAGGGAGTTTTTTATAAATTGGCATGTCATCTGGTCTTAAAATAACAGACTAAGTAGTAAACAAATTACAGTTATATGTAAGTTAAGTTTCTTACAGAGTTATATTTCACATCATGGCCTGTAATTTCAATGCTTAAATAAGATTAAATTTCTGCATTTCTGTTGGAAGAAATGCTTGAGTATAGAATGACTGGCACTGATTGATTAAATTCAGTTCACATATAGGGCAATATCCAATCACATCAGAACAAAGTTTGAAGCTTTAAATACCATCTAGAATTGATGTGTGTTGTAGGCTGTTATGGAAATAGGCCTCAGCTCAGTGCTGGAGTATTACAACAAACAAGACATTACTAAAGTTCCACTCTTTAAACACATATAACATTTTCTAATTGGTATACTGGACCAGTACCAATGTTTTTTATTATAATGTAATGGCTGGATTCAATAGTGCATATTTATTTCCACTACCTCTAAAGTATGTCTAGGTGACTAATTTAGATGAAGGCTTTTAAAGTGTTGATATCTACCACAAACAGCTCTCAACTTGTTTTTATAGCTTCCGAAAAGCAGATGAAGTTAGTTTGCAGAGAATCTTCAGAAGAGCATCTCCAGCCCTTCAAGGAGAAATTAGAAGAATTCTTCCAGAAAGGTAAACACATGTCAAAAATATGAATATATCGGTCAATAGTGTAATGTTTTACAAAGTGTTCTATACGTAACATAAGCTGCGTTAAGTATCTATTTTCTCTACAAATTCCTACTATCTGTTGTGGATTATATTCTGAATATGCCTAATATGTGTTCAGAGTAATGGATACACAGATCTTAGACACCATTTATCAAAGGTAATTATTTGCTTGATCTCACACATTTCTTATTATTTTCTGTTTCATCTTTTATCATTATATTTAGGTAATTATATTCATCGTAGACTTATCAGACTTATCAGATAGAATTTATATCTTCAAGTCTATAAAAGACTAGAATAGAAAAATATCCTTCCACATATATTAATGAGGTAATTAATTTTGTATCAATGGTATAGCCATTAATTGACTAATTAGATTTAAAGATTTTGCCTAAGGCCAAGGAAGTGATTTAAAAGAGCAGAGTCTAGTGATAAGAGGAATGAGATCTGAGGGTGCCATTTGAAGATCAGTACAAGACAATCTAAATGTATGTTGCTGCTGTTGAAAGGGGCAGTCTTGCTCTCTCCTGTTTTCCTGCAGCGCTGCACAGATCAGCACTGTAGCATCTCAGGAGCAGTTCAAGGCTACAGATAAGGAAACAAAGATTTTTCTTTTTCAGTATGTAGGAGTTGTTAAGGTAACAGAGTGTTTCAGTATTTCTGGTAATTATATTAAAAATTCTTAAGAAATAAATTTTACCAGAGGGCTAATATTTTTCCCAGGAACTGTGATCAACTTAAAAATTTGCCTTTTGAGAAATCAAGAAAACTATCTGAATCTACTAATCTAGGCAGAATACTATTAGTGATCATTCAAATTTTTGTAATTATTTCTGACTTAGTTAATTCCATCTTATAAAGATCTTTCCAATGCTTTTTTAATAATGTAATTTTATGAGCTTGTCTTATATTAAGTGAAAACAGGATGCTTTAAGAGTAACAATTTTTGTTAAATTGTTTTGTTGTTTTTTGGATATGTTTATTTGATAGATATTTTTAAGTTTATTAGACAGTGCAAAGATAAAACAGAACTTGTAAAACAAGAAAATTATGGTGAAAATCTTGCATTAAAGCAGGACAGTTATCTTTGCTGCTTGTTTAAAGGGAATTTTTACATAGAGTTTACCAATAATATCCATATTGAGATACTATTCAAGATATATCTGCACCTTTATGTGCAGAACTCCAGTATGCTTCTTTATCTTGCTTGTCAAAGCACTGTAGCTCAAACTGGTGAGCTGTAACACTATTTGGGTTACAAATCCAAAACACAACACCATATGAGCTACTATGAAGACATTCTGTCTTCTGACTCATTTTCATTAGAATATTCATGTACAAAGTCCTGGGCGCTTCAGACCCTATAGTTATTCACCCTTTACCTCCTTCAGTCACTTATCTCCTTGATTTGAATCTTTATAATGGGTGAGTGGTACTTTGTATGGCATTAGAAGGGAAATCCTATAAAATCGTGTGCTGAAAATATGTGACAACTGTCTTGATTTATAATATTAGAATAGGTATTGGACAAACTTTAAGAAGTTTAGTGGTTCAGTTCAGATAAGCATCTGGAGACTCAAATACTTCTCTAATATTAGGAGTTAACTGATAATACCGAGCATCCGTTAAGCATCTGCTTTCAGTTTTGTTTGTTTAAAAAAAGAGTTGTGGATGACTTAAGTAAATGTATGAAAAAATAGTCTGTTATCTTCTTGCCAGCTCACAGCAAGTATCCAAAGCTCAGAAACTTCTGGTTTGGAAATAGGGCTGGAACTTATAGATACTCATTTTTTTTCTCAAATCCTGATTTCCCATCATTTCTTCTCAGTGATAAATTGGAAATACTGTAGGGGAAAAAAAGAAAGATTGATTTGCTTAATCGGATCTGTTTATATTTCCTAATTACAATTAATGCCAATTAAATCTAGTACTTGCTGTGTTGTAATAAAAAGCGTGCAGTGTTATGGAGACTGACATTCTAAAATGCAAAAGGGGATAAACTGTACTTCTGCTGATGTCAGTGCTGTTTTGTGTAACTGACTTTAACATAGTCTAGTGTCTTCAGCAACGAATTAGGTGCCAGAACCTTTACGTTCTATTCCCAGTTCAGCTACTTGACATGTTATTTTAGAAGAGTTGGTTAATCTCTTTTTCAGAGTCTCACTTTCCTGGTACACTGTGTAAAATAACGATTCTTGTTCTTTTTAGTAGTGAAAGATGATCTTTGTCAAGTGTTACATGATTTCCACATGAAAGGTGTAAACTGTGTTAGTTCTTCATTAGCTATATTTGATATGCTCATGCTTTTTAAAAGGACTTAGATTATTCTGAAAACAAAAATAATCATTAATAGATTTAATAGTATGGTGGGAAAAAAAAAAAGATTAGTTTTACTATAATTCATAGACATAAGAATTACCATAAGAGACTGTACACATGCTGTATTTCCAGTAAAGTTGCTGCATGTTGTTTTCAGAAATACATTTGTTACATTTTCCATGATTCACAAAAATATCTTAGAAATCATGACATTAACAGTTGGTTTGGTATACCACTTAATTTATGAAACTATTGCTCAGAATTGCTTAGGAAAAAACTCTTCTTTGAATTATCAAATTGTCAATAAAAAACATCAGAATTGTTAAATGTATGTGAGAAAAGTGCAAAATACTCTGTTCTGAAAAGGAGAAAAGTAGGAGAGTTTGCTTATTGCAGCTAAGAAGCTCACTAGAGAGGGTGCTGGCCATCAGCCATTGTTAGTTTTTCATGACACTTTTTATTCTCTTTCTCTCTTCTCTCAAGTATAATATGAACCAGAAAGTAGACAGCATACAAGAGCAGTCAACTAGCCCTAATAAAATTTACTTTTCACTTCCCCCCTTGACTATCTCATATTATTTGTCCATTATCATAAATGTGGAAGTTTGTAACTCACATTCATCCAGGATCTTGCAAAATCTGGTCCAAAATTCCCCTTCACTGGTTCCAGCCTAGAAAGTATGTAAAAACTCTAATCTGGGCTGCATTTCCTCCCTTGAATACTGGAATGTGTGAATCAAAAAACTTTAGGCTTTGTAGCAGTTAGCCTAGGAAGTTCATAGCTGTCTCTTTTCATTTCTACAAGAATAAAGCATCTTGCTGATGGAAACTGTGCTATTAAAGGAATTCATTCCATTTACAACAGAGTCTGGGAAACGAGTAGTCTGATGTCAGAACAGAACCGTTTTTGAAAATCATTAATAGTAGAAAGGAATGCTATTTGGAAAAGCCACATGATACACTCAAGTGCCCAAGGTAACAAACAAGATGGAAAGAAAGGGATTTGCCAATTACAGTAGATCTGCTGAGATCAATCTCATAATGGAAGGAATTGTCCTGCATTTGGATTAACAACACTGGTTAAGTTGTTGTTTTGCTACCATTACTGTTTGTCCTACACTATATAAGAGATGACTGTTGCTCAGTCATGGCACTATACAGTAGAAAAATAGAGTCACAAACCAAGTGAGTCAGTGTACTGTTATGTCAGAAGGTAGTATATTTTTCAGACAAGGTTAGCAAGCACATGGAAAATGTCAATAAATCTGATTTTTACTGCTAAATTATTTCTTAATAATTTTAGCCAGGCTGCAGTAGCTACCTGGGCATGCTTCCAAACTGTTGTGCTTTCTAATGTACTTCTAGAGCAGAACAGGAGCTTTGATCCACATCTATTCATTTGCCTATTTGAATGTACTGTAGAGGATTGTCGAGATAGTCCAGTGGGAAAGAAAATAAGAAATAAATTCTTTTAAGGATAGCCCATTTCATTTGTATGTTAACTATTTTCTGTTTTGTATTATTCTTCTGGGAGCATAACTGAGAAATTAAGAAACATAATGAAAAAATTGTATTCAAGTGCACTGGCCAGAAGCTCTGATCAGAACTCCTTGATTTCCGTGACATGAGAATGGGAAACATAAATGGGGATGCTTGTCTGAATCTGTAAGAGGCCAGGCTCCCTAAGCAGGCAGACAGATACCTCCTGACCTTATATATGAAGCATTTTCATGTATATTGTTTGATCCAGGTCACTGCAACTATATAAAGAATTGTTACTTCCTTTCTGGTATCTCCAAGTTTTCATGTCAGTTCCACCTTCATAACTTTACTTCCAGAAATGTAGTTTCTTCTAATTAAATTTAAATAACAAATGTTTGTTGTGATTCTATATTTTCTTACTCATTTGTAAGAAGATGAAATAACAAATGTTTGAAATCACTGGTCTTTAGATCATAGAGTTCAAAGCTAAACCTTCTCAATGTGTATTTGACTTCTTTTAACGGAATCTTTTCTAAGGTTCTAAGGTAGTTTCCAGGAAGATTTTTTTTATTCTTCTTCATTCTTAATATCCCTATTGAGATACTTTTGTAATCCTTTTACTCATTATCAGCTTACATTTATTTTCACTCCACTCAATTTTACTACTTTTAATTTGCTTCTTCAGAATACCTAATGTATCATCTCATAATAGCATTCAGATAAGGAATTTGCCCCATGCCTTTTCTTTAATTCTAATCCTGTAAAGCATTTCAACTGGCTAACTGTCAATTTCTTGTTCTTTTCTGCTTGTTCCTGGATTTAAATGTTTTCTTCAATGTGGTTCTGATGCTATATATTTCCATATGAAGTACTTTATTGTCTTTATCTAGTAGTATCCATAGTATCAATGCAGGCATCCTTACTTTTTTAGTTTATAGACCCTGAGTAGTAAGAATCTGATAGTATAATTTCTTCTATTAAAGCAAAAATTTTAAAAAAAAAACCTCTCAAAACAGCTTTTCAGTCAAAGCTGTGTATGTAGTAGGATGCTGACATATTTCAGCAGCGATTCAGAAGTCAAGAATACTCTAAGACACCATAATCAGCACAATTTTCATAATTCATGATATTTCATATTTCTTACTTGCTGTTAGCAGGAT